CTCTGGTATGTCCCCGGGAGAGCGCTACAGTCTGCTGATCCCTGGCCCTAAAGATATCCGGCTGTCCTCGACTAGAGCCAGGGCTTTCTCAGTTCTGGTTCTGACCTGGTGGAACGCTCTGCCAACTTCCATCAGGGCCCTGCAGGACTTTATGCAGTTCTGCAGGGCCTGTAAGGAAGAGATGTTCTGCCAGGCTTTTGGTTGAGGACAGCCAGGGCTATTTTTGGGCAGGAACGCACAGGAACGGAGTTCCGGCTGGCTCCTGAGTTGGCCACGCCCAGCAGGAAGTCATTAGCATAATAGGCCACACCCAACAGCAGAAACTCATTAGGATTGGCTATATTAGGGGGGTGTGGCCTAACATGCAAAGGTAACCACGCTTCTGGTAACATGGGGGTGTGGCCTAATGTGCTAATGAGCTGTGCTGTCAGGGGTGTGACCTAATATGCTAATGAGTTTCGGCTGCTGGGTGTGGCCTATTATGCTAATGCGTTCCTGCTGGGCTTTTTCTACAAAAAAGCCCTGAGGACAGCAACGGTTTCCCATCATAGCGGGCACCTTCTTTTCCTCTTTTCTTTTCTTCCATTCTGCCTGCTTTGGCCTCCTCTTTATCCTGCCCATGAGATAGAAGGACAGTCCAGAATAGGTTTTATATTAAATTATGGACGCCATCGGGAGACTATTACGAATAACTGATTTGTTGATTTTAATCTGTATTTTTGTGTTGTTTTTAACCTGTTGTAAATCACCCAGAGCTTTGTGTACTCAAGGATTGGGTGATCCAGAAATTTAATAAATAGTAATATAATTAAGTGCAAATTTGATTAAACTGTGGGATTTGCTGCCAGAGGATGTAGTGATGACCACAGGAATAAACAGCCTTAAAAGAGGAATAGATAGATTCATGGAGGATGTCGATCAATGGCTACTAGCCATAGTGACTGAGGGGAACCTCCACATTCAGAGGCACTAATCCTCCCAATCCCAGAGCCAGGGGGCAACCTCAGGGGAAGGCCTTGGCCTCTATGCCCTGTTGTTGGCCCTCCAGAGGAACTGGTTGGCCACTGTGTGAGACAGGATGCTGGACTAGATGGGTCAAGGGACTGATCCAGCAGGGCTCTTCTTATGTTTTTATGTTAGTTCAGACACAAGGATTCGTCCTGTGGATCAAGTTTCATAGAAGCATAGACAAGGTTACCCATTCCGCTCCACTGCTGAAAGGATCAACATCTATGCAGTACTCCCAAAACAACAACCAATGGCTGATGAGCTCAAATTGTGGCTCACCGCTCACCAAGTCAAATGCATCCCTCCCAGCCATCTGGGTCAACTCACTGGGACTGCCAGTACAGCTACCAAAAGATGGGGTCTAGGAGAGTACAAATTTCCAGCCTTGTTGTATATTGAAACCTAGGTTAAACTTGAGTCCGAACCAGGATTGTAAATACGCCAGTCCGAGCTGCAGAATGTTCTGGAGGGAAGCACTCTGATTGGACCTTATTTGTAAATAGTCAAGGCTATTTTTGGGCAGGAACGCACAGGAACGGAGTTCCGGCTGGCTCCCAAGTTGGCCACACCCAGCAGGAACTCATTAGCATAATAGGCCACACCCAACAGCAGAAACTCATTAGGATTGGCTACGTTAGGGGTGTGTGGCCTAACATGCAAAGGAGTTCCTGCTACAAAAAAAGGCCCTAGGTTTGGACAACAAACAAGGTAAACAGAATAAGAAGCAAAAGGTGAGTGTGTCAGGATGACCACATTTCTGCGAACATGGGGTGTGTGACCTAATATGCTAATGAGCTGTGCTGTCAGGGGTGTGTCCTAATAAGCAAATGAATTTCTGCTGTTGGGTGGGGCCTATTATGCTAATGAGTTCCTGCTGGGCTTTTTCTACAAAAAAGCCCTGTAAATAGTTATTGGTTGTTAGCTGACTTGTGGGCGTGGCTACCTAAGCCCGGACGGTTTAAAAGAGAGCCTGTCGCTCTATGTTTTTGTCTCGTTCTCATTTCTTCTGACTTCGTTAGTAAAGCTGATTCACTGTTCACTAGCTGTGTTGAGTCTCGTACTTAACGAGCCTGTGTCCTACAAAACACTATGCATAGAAGAGGCAATGCTGCAGAGAGCTACCGTAAGAGGATGTGGCTCCCGATGGTACTATCAAGGCACAACTTGGGTCAGGAGCTTCTATACACAATTCACAAATTCATAAATTAATTTGGGGCTCTTTATTTGTAACTGACTGTGGAATGGAAGGAGCTCATCGCATCCCATCCTTTTACGAGCCCACTGAATCATTTTGCAAACGACTGTCTTTTTAACACGTCCTGTTAATATGTTTTTCCCCAACAGCCGATGTCCCCAGCGTGTGTCCACCTGTTGATATGCCCAGAAGAGGTGAAGGAGATGGTAAGAAAACCAAAGACAGAGGTGATGCAAAATCAAACTTCTGGTTTTTCCCTTTTGTGTACCATCCATTCTCTTTTGAACCTGAGAAGCCTCTCTCAAAGACTTTCCTAAGTTTTCATTCACAGTCCACACACACACAAACGGACACGCATACAGATCTTGTGAACATGATGTCTAGTCAGGGCTGGACCGATGGCTAGGTAAACCTAGTCAATCGCCTTGGGCGCCTGAGTTAGAGGAGCACCTGTCCTGAATGGAGCCGATGTCCCCAGCGTGTGTCCACCTGTTGATATGCCCAGAAGAGGTGAAGGAGATGGTAAGAAAACCAAAGACAGAGGTGATGCAAAATCAAACTTCTGGTTTTTCCCTTTTGTGTACCATCCATTCTCTTTTGAACCTGAGAAGCCTCTCTCAAAGTCTTTCCTAAGATTTCATTCACAGTCCACACACACACAAACACACACAGAGCTTGTGAACATGATGTCTAGTCAGGGCTGGACCGATGGCTAGGTAAACCTAGTCAATCGCCTTGGGCGCCTGAGTTAGAGGAGCACCTGTCCTGAATGGAGGAAGTGCTGCCTTATACTCATTCAGACTATTCAGAGCCAGTTTGGTGTAGTGGTTAGGAGCACAGACTCTAATCTGGGAGAACTGGGTTTGATTCACCATGTCTCCACATGCAACCACTGGGTGACCTTGGGCAAGCCACAGTTCTCTCAGAGCTGTTCTCTCAACAGCAGTCCTCGAAAGAGCTCTCTCAGCCTCACCTACCTCACAGGGTGTCTATTGTGGGGAGAGGAAGGGAAGGAGATTGTAAACTGCTCTAAGACTCTGAGTGAGGGGTGGGGTATAAATCCAATCTCCTCCTCCTCTTCTTCCTCATCATCTTCATCATCTTTGTCTTCTTCTTCTTCATCTTCATCTTCAACTTCTTCTTGCCTATCTGCCCTGGGGTTGCCAAAAATATGAAGAAAAAAATGTCCTGTCCCTCTGACAGAGGTTCTGTGGGATGACTTTTCACTTTCACCCAGCACTGAATCCCGATTTGTGCCATGGAAGCTTGCTTGGTGGCCGTGGGCCAGTTAAACTCTCTTGCCCTAATCTACATGACAGGATTGTTGTGAAGACAGAAAGGAGAAGAGGAAAGTGATATAAGTCGCTTTGGGTCTGTGTCGGGGATCAAGATGGGGCAGAAATGAAGTCAGCAAATAAAAATTGGCTTCTGATTAAGCCAGGAGCTGGGAAGTTGTCACCAACTGGAGAAAAACAAGATGTGCCTTATCTCAAGATAACCAGAGGTACAAACATGCCCTCAAGGGCCTATCAACTTGGATCCCTTCAGGAAGGCTCATGGAACCAATTCAGCTCTGTTTATTCAGGCAGGATGTCCCGCATTGGCCATGGGAATGCAGGACCTTAGAACATTGTCCGACGCACTTGCAACTGCTCATTCCAGAGAGCTGAGGTTGTGCCCTATTTTTAAACAGCCTATTTTAAAGCCTGGGTAAACATCTGGCGCGCTCGCCTCCCACTGTGCCCGATGCCCCGTGCTGGCACCGTCAAAAGAATGCCGTGGGCTTCCATGCTGCATCCGACAGCTCCTCCGTGCCGTGAAATGACAGCTTTGTGCGCACAGCAAAGTAGTAATCCCAGAGGAGAGATTATAGTTATTATACTGAGGAGAGGCTTGGGGGGGGGGGGAGAGCACTGGTGGCCGCATTCCTCTCCATCGAGTCTGGCAAAAACATGCAAGCTGAACACATGCTTGGAATAAACCTGGCGCATCACGCGTCCTTCCAAAATCCTTGACAGTCGGCAGGGTGGCAGCGGGGCAGATGTTTGTCTAAAAAGCGCTGGATGCCCAAAAGGGCACAGATCCAGTAGACATTCCACCATCTATTTGTTTCTTTTCTAGGAGAGTCCTCTACCCCCTCCCCCATCAATGCTGCTCCCCAAGTTTCTCTTTAAAGCTAGAGGAGATTGGGCAGCAGAATTTTGCCAGCTTATTGGTGTATCACCTTTGCACCATACCTGAGCCAGCAGCATCCTGGAGTCTTAGAGCTGGAAAGGGGTCCTACAGGTCATCTAGTCTAACTTTCTGCTCCGCCTAAAGCATCCCTGACAGGTGTTCCTCTGGACGCTGCTTGAAGACTGCCAGTGAGGGGAGCTCACCACCTCCCTAGGCAGATGATTGCACTGCTGAACTACTACTAACTGTAATTTTCCCCCTAATATCCAACCAGTATCTTTCCACCCGTAATTTAAGCCCATTATCGAATGTCATTTCTACTGGGATATTTGCTTAATACAGCAGAGTTTGCCCAGTCGTAGAAGCATGATACTGAGCGGCGGAAATAAATCTCCCAAGAAAATTACAATAGGGGGCAGTGGCGCAGGCAGTTCAATGCCTGCAATCACAACACTAGTGAACAGCCACTATGGCTGTTCGAGACCCACCGCGGCCGGGGTGAGCTCCCGGCCCTAGTCCCAGCTCCCGCCCACCCAGCGGCTCGAAAGTGTACTCACAAGTAGACAAATGGGTACCTGCCCTAGGTGGCAGGGGGCGCCCTCCTCCTGATGGTGTGTGCCAGGAGTGCGGCGGCGGCAGTAATGGCGGCGGAGCAGTGGCGATCCGAGGATGTGGCGACGACGGATGGAGGCGGAGCTGTGACGGCGCGACGGCGCGAAGACGCAGCGCGGAGGAGCCTAAGGGACATTAGCCGGAGCAGCCGCGCGCCAGAGGAACTCCATCTGAAGCTTGCCGTCTGGGTGCCGGTAGGCAGCCCCTTCCCATATGAACTGTGGCCCTAGATTAGGAACAATTAGTATATTCTCTGTAAACCGCTCTGAGACCCTTCGGGGTCAAGGGCGGTATATAAGTCGACATATAAATAAACAAACAAATAAATTTATTCAAGTAGATCCAGTTCACATTCAGGTTGCAGTCAAAAGGAGAGAGAGAAGGCTAATCTGAAGAGTACTTTCCCTATTGCAAATGGCCAGCTTGTCTGGCATCATATATGTGGGAGGATGAGGGCATTAGGTCTGCAGGAGAGACCTGCAGAGCCCTGTGCCTCCATGGAAGGCCATGTGAAGCGAGTGAGAGGGAGAGGACAACGTGAGTGAGAGAGGAAGGGTCAGAGGGCAGCTCCCAGTTTAAGACAAAGAGAGGCATCCCATTCAAGGAGACAACACCTATAGACACTTAGAGCGATGTAGCAACCCCCCCCAATGTCCAGGCACACTTTCCTCTGCTGCCAACGGGAATAGCTCCCTGCCTTCCTCTTAGTGAAGAGAAGAAGAAATTGGATTTATACCCCGCCCTTCACTACCAAAGGGAGTCTCAGAGCAGCTTACAAACTCCTTTCCCTTCCCTACCCCTCCCCACAACAGACACCCTGGGAGGTAGGTGGGGCTGAGAGAGCTCTGACAGAAACTGCTCTTTTTCAAGAACAGCTGTGCCAGAGCTATGGCTTGCCCAAGGTCATCCAGCAGGTGCAAGTGAAGGAGTGGGGGACTCAAACCCGGTTCTCCCAGATTAGAGTCCGCGCACTTAACCACTACACCCTTTCAGATACAGAAGAGAGGGTGCCTAACAGCAGTTTCATCACTGTTTGACTTGGCCCCGCACAGTCCTCACCATCTAAACGTGGGAGGCGTGAGGAAGCGGAGGAGGGCGAATGAAATGTAGCACATTCTTTCCGCACATTCACATTTTCTTGCCTCTGCAACCTCTCCCCTAGACGACAGATGTCTCATTTGACTTCTGCTCGTTTCCAAGTTTGGAGTCCAGGAAGGTACACACACAAAGATCATCCTCACAACTGAAAAAACCCAGGACTCGCACCCACACTGCAGCTGTGTGATCTCATGCAGACAGAGACCGGGGCTTCCGTTTGGAAACAGCAGCCGGTTGTGGATGACACTGGTCTGGCCTGCTTCAGGTATAGGCATGCGCTTAGGAAACTCCCGGTATTTGGCTAGCTTTCCTATACCAGATCGCTTAGCCAGAGGGACTCCTTAGTAATGCTATTTGTTCATTCTGGGTATAGTACACGAGTAAATCCTATTAGAGAATCTATGCTTCCATTCTAAGCTTATTTAATAAAGCATAGCTATTGTGTTCTTAATGCAGACTAAATCCACAAAAGCATTGTACCATCCATCCATCGCTGCTTCATAGATCATTAAAGGAGAGCAGTGATATGAGTCCATAAAGCTTTCTTACCCCAAAAGTAAGCCGATCACAGGCAAGGAGCCCCTTTTGAGAAGCTCCTGATCAATTAAATTTCCCAAATTTATAGGATTTTTAAAGCCATCTTCTAACTGTCCCACTTGATAGGGCGCAAATTCTTGGCTAGCCCGTTATCTTATAACTTCAAACACCATACATTCTCGCTGTTTTTTTATCTTAACAAAGTTTATTTAAAAATGACAGTTACAAGTTTCTCATACATGTGAATATCTTCTGGCTCTCAACCAACCTTCCCATCCTTGAATCATATCTTTGTTTCTGTAAAGTTGAACTTTCTTGCAATTCTCAGACGCTTCTGCACCTGGGCCTCAACAGACTGTATCTATTGATAATGGGTTAGACGTCTTCTAATCTACACAAGGCCATATAAATTCAGGGCTATTTTTGGGAAGGAACGCACAGGAACGGAATTCCGTCTGGCTCCCAAGTTGGCCACGCCCAGCAGGAACTCATTAGCATAATAGGCCACACCCAACATCAGAAACTCATTAGGATTGGCTACAATTAGGGTGTGTGGCCTAACATGCAAAGGAGTTCCTACTCCCAAAAAAAAGCCCTGGGTTTTGACAACAAACAAGGTAAAGAGAATAACAAGCAAAAGGTGGGTGTGGTTGGATGACCACACTTCTGGTAACATGGGGGTGTGTCCTAATGTGCTAATGAGCTGTGCTGGCAGGGGCATGGCCTAATATGCTAATGAGTTTTTGTGTTGGGTGTGGCCTATTATGCTAATGAGTTCCTGCTGGGCTTTTCCTACAAAAAGAGCCCTGCATATAATTGTTGCCACTCTGTCTTCTTCTTACTGATCTTCAAGGCTATTCTGTTCTGGGTCTCTAGATACCCTTCTTGGCAGGCTTCCCTGAGAGGACAGGTTTATTCTGTCCATGTGTGCATCTTCGGTGGTCTTTTTGGTCAAGTCTGGCAATGACAAGCCACAGCGCTTGAGCTTAGAGGTGATGATTAAGCCTCCAACCAGAAATGGTCCTGGGAAGAAGAAGTGAGCAGTGACTGATGAAAACTCATACGCGACACATATTTTGTTAGTCTTTAAGGTGCGGTGACTCAAGTGGTTAAGACGCTGAACTGCAGGCTGTGGAAGGTCGGTAGTTCAGCAGTTCGAGACCCGGGTGCCGCAAGACGGAGTGAGCTCCCATCTCTAGTTCCAGCTCCTGCCAACCTAGCAGTTCGAAAGCAAGAAATTGCAAGTAGATAAATAGGTACCACTTCGGTGGGAAGGGAACAGCGTTCTGTGTGCCTTGGTGTTTAGTCATGCCGGCCACATGACCACGGAAACGTCTTCGGACAGCGCTGGCTCTTCGGCTTGGAAACGGAGATGAGCACCGCAACCCTAGAGTCAGATTCGACTGGCTTTCGAGCAAGGGAACCTTTACCTTTACCTTTTTAAGGTGATACTGGGCTCTTGCGCTTTTCTACTGGTCGTGGGACGTCATCGTGGTCTTGCAACTAGGGTTGCTAGCCCACCAGTGGGGACGGGGGGATGCTGTGCCTGCAGTTGGCATTTCTCATCACTACTCTGAGATCTCCTTGCCTTGAAAACCCTACGGGATCACCATAAGTCAGCTGATACATGATGCCACTAATGCATTCCCCTGACCCGGATGATCCATTCTAGTTTGATGTCGTCTGATCCTGGAAGCTAGGCAGGGTCGGCCTTGGCCACTGCTTGGATGGAAGACTGCCGAGAAAACTAAGGTTCCTACATGGAAGGAGGCAATGGAAAACTACCTCTGTTCCTCTCCTGCTTCGTAAACCCTGTGATAGGGTCACCAAAAAACGGCTGTGACGACAGCCAAAAGAACCCCGAAACAAAAACGTTGGCTTTGTTTCAGTTGGTTTACATTTATAGTAACTGATCGTAATGTCAGTGGCCACTGGAAGGGCTCTGTTTATTGAGAAAGCAGCTTTCGAGGACTAACCTCCTGTTCTTTGCCAGAAGTCAGTAATAGATCAAACCCTCACTGCCTCTTCTTCCCGCATCCCAGTGACAAGAACATCTGGAAACCAGCAGCCATCCCCACGAGAGGCATGTAATTGTACAATAAAAGTTACAGAGCTTGTTGGATCTGGATAGCTGTAATTATCCACTGAAAGTGGTTGCCGGAATGGGGTTAGGATGGGCATGGGCTGAACTGTACAGGAAATGGAAACTGCTCAGCAAGGTGGAGTTCTGCTTGTGCCGAGGATATTGCAGAAGTTTCTCTGAACTGGAAGTTTTATGTGTTAATGGTAATGAAGGATACAACTAGGGATATACACCTATCCCACTAGGGGGAAATCTCCTGTATAGATCTATGGTGCAGCCTCATTTGGAATACTGTGTACAGTTCTGGTCACCATCAATGCTCCCTCTAAGCTGTGGAGTCTCGTGAGCACAACTTTTGCTTGGTAAGCTACTGGCATTAATGTTGTGAGCGAATGATTTGGCCACTGCATAAATCAGTTTGCTCTGGAGCCATCCTTCCTGGGATAAGACAAAAATGTGTGAGCTGGAGGCTAAAAAACTGTGAGCTGGCTCACACTCACTCAGCTTAGCAGGAACACTGGTCACCATATCTCCAAAAGGACATTGCAGAGCTGGAAAAAGTACTTCTTGTTGTTCAGTCACACAGTCAAGTCCGACTCTTTGCAACCCCATGGACCACATCACGCCAGGCTCACCTGTCTTCATCAGATACTAGCCAGAATGGCAACATTGTTCGTCTCTTAAGGTGCAACTGGATTTGAATCGAGCTGTTCTATTGTAGATAAAAGGTAAAGGTTCCCTTGCTCGAAAGCCAGTCGAATCTGACTCTAGGGTTGCGATGCTCATCTCCGTTTCCAAGCCGAAGAGCCAGCGCTGTCCGAAGACGTTTCTGTGGTCATGTGGCCGGCACGACTAAACACCAAGGCACACGGAACGCTGTTACCTTCCCACCGAAGTGGTACCTATTTATCTACTTGCAATTTCTTGCTTTCGAACTGCTAGGTTGGCAGGAGCTGGAACTAGAGACGGGAGCTCACTCCATCATGCGGCACACTCGGGTCTCGAACTGCTGAACTACCGACCTTCCATAGCCTGCAGTTCAGCATCTTAACCACTTGAGCCACCACAGCTCCTTGTTCAGTTCACTTCTTACAGCCCATGAATTAGCAATACCCATTGTGGAGCTGTCCGTTCCCACAGTGCTGAATTCATATCAAGTGTACTTCCAAGTAGTCCCATTTCATTTGGGTGGCCTTTATCCCGATATTACAGTCATCAGTGGTCATTGGGAATGCCCAGCTGGCACATGCTCAGAGGTGCTCCGAGTGAAGGGCGGGGTATAAATCCAACCTCCTCCTCCTCCTCTAGACTACAGAGATCAGTTCCCCTGGAGAAAATGGATGCTTTGGAGGGGGGACTCTATGACCTTGTAGCCCACTGAGGTCCCTGTCTTCCCCAGGCTCCACCCTCAAATCTCCAGGAATTTTCCCACCTGGATCTAGCAACCCTACCCCCCAATCCCCCATCAGAACCGGGAGGGTTCTGGCAACCCTAGTTTTGAATTGTATTTGTAATCTTGTTAATAAAACAGATGAACTAAATTTGCAGATGTGCTTGCCTTCTATTAAACTTTTTAAATTCTTGCAATACACACCCTGAATAGTGGGACACTGATTTCATTTGGCAAGAGAGGCCATTGTTTTTGATACGACACACGCATATTTTGATGCCAAAATGTGACAATATAAAAATCTTGAAGCTTGGCGGAAAAGTCTGATTCATCCTTTTCCAGTACAGGAAATCAATGAAATGTGTTGTGTAGGCAAAATGTAGGCGCCGAGATCCATCGACAGATGGCGATGAAAATCCCACCAACTTTTTTTCTTAGGACTGGTAGGTTGGAATGTGAGCTTCCCTCTGCCATTCTTACCGCGACGTTAAGAATTTTTTTGCCCTTACGTGGAAGTCTGACTAGCAATTGCCCAAAAAAACAAAACAGAACACCACCCTTTCTGTTGCAAGCAACCTCCACAGCACTTTGCGAGAACAGACATGATTTTACTCTCAGCGATGTCATCCGCAGAATGTCGACTCGGATAAAATTATTCGCCCATAGCATGTCTGAGGTCTATTCTTTCTTTCTTTCTTTTTTTAAAACAGCTTCATAACTCTGAATTGGGTAATGTTCTGGCACTCCAGAGGTTTCATGACTTGCCCATAGTCTTAAAACCGAGTCAGTAAAAATGGTCATAAGTGGGAAATGATCCTAATGAAAATGCCTCTGGAAACCGCTAAGGTGACCCAGGTTCCTTGGCTCACAATGGAAGCCAGACAAAACTTTTTTCTTCCTTCCTTTCTTTAAAGAGCATAAGTAGTCATTTTCAGCTTTGTGTCTGGACCGGGGCCCGCCACTTCCACTTTGTCGGAACGCCACAATCAGCCGTGCAGACGGTAGAAAATTGATGTGTAATTATCGTTCGAGAAACCGTGTGACTTAAATGTACGTTACTGAGAAGGTTCCTTTTATTGTTTTCAAGGCAAAAGATTAGGTATGAACTGGCGTTCCTTTTTTAAATGATGCGGGGGTCCTCAAAAGTTTAAGTCTGAAATAAAATTGTGCAGATGTTCGGTGCTCCTTTATACTGTCTCTGTCCCGCTGAAGATTACTGGACTAGGAATAGTGTGTCTGGGCACAGACGTCCATCTGACAGCAATGCCGATTCTTTGAATTTAGGCGGATCATGACAGGGAGGTCAGGAAGGGATGAGCAAAGTTCTCGCGGCCCTTACTTACACGCTCAGTGTAATGCCGATCACCACGCTGGGATCTGGAAGGAATTTTCCTCCAGGGATCCTGGAGGTTTTTTGCTTTCCACAAGAATAACACACAATCCCAAAACAGTCTGATATGCAAAATTATACAGATGTGTGCTAGATGCCCACAGAACAATATCATAACAAAAGAGACTAGATTAGAGCCATAACATAATTGAGCGTCTAGTAATAAAAAACCAACCACTTATTCCTTCATAGAAAAAAAAACACAAAGGTCAATAAGATTTCACAAAGCAGTCTGCTCCAGACTCTCTCAGTCTATCTCCCTCTAACAGTCTTGTATTCTCAAAAGCAGTCTGCTCCAAATTAAATCAATCTGTATCTCTCTTTCAACACTTTCCCCAGATATTTAAGTGTTTCAGACCTCTGGTCTTTCCTCAGGAAACAATCCTATATGGGGATCTTATATTCAGTCTGACATTCAAGTTGACACTTTCATTGATTTACTTTTCTGTTAATCTATTTGGGCAAAAGGTCTCCTCACTTATTCCCAAGCCTGCTGGTGCTGCTGTCACCAGTCTGGGACTGGGTCCATTTGACTTTGGCAACGGCACTAGCAGGCTTGGAGATACGTGGTTGTTTTTTTATTACTAGACAATAAATGATGTTATGGCTCTAGTCTCTTTTGTTATTGTATTGTTCTGTGGGCATCTAGCACACATCTGTGTAATTTTGCGCAGGGGTAATTTCCTGCGGGAGCGCACAGGAGCGGAGCTCCGGCAGTAAGGAGCTCAGGGGCGGGCACATGCAACAAGCCCCACCCCCTGCTCCCAGCAGCCCTCAGTCAGGCCATGAGGAGTAAGAAGCAGCCAGGTAAGTTGCAGAGCCCCCCCCCACGGCACGTCCCCCCCCCAGCTAGCAATCCAAAACAGTCCAGTGGCACCTTTAAGACCAAGTTTTATTCAGGTACAAGCTCTCCCTCCTCTATGAGGACAGATCTGCACGTCCCCCCCCCAGCTAGCAATCCAAAACAGTCCAGTGGCACCTTTAAGACCAAGTTTTATTCAGGTACAAGCTCTCCCTCCTCTGTGAGGACAGATCTGCACGCCCCCCCCCAATAGCTAGCAATCCAAAACAGTCCAGTGGAGCCTGAGTGGTGTGTGTTGCCTTCTGACACACTTCCGGTGATGTCAGGAGGTGTGGCATATGCAAATACGTTATGCAAATAATTTATGCTAATAGGTGCCTGCACTTCTTTTTCTACGAAATGACTCCTGATTTTGCGTATCAGACAGTTTTTTGCTTTTCCCTGGGCATAGAGCGGGGGTCGCTGGGGGCGTGTGGGGGGCAGAAGGTAGCTGTGAATTTTCTCCATTGTACAGGGGGGTTATATTAGCTGACCCTTGAGGTCCCTTCCAGCTGTATGTTTCTATGTTATGTTGTAAATAATGCATTATCCATTAAAAATGCATTATCCATTAAAAACCCTTGCGGCTTCAACCTGTTTCGATTTCACTTCTCTCTTCTGCAGACTGAGCTTGAGATTCTTCGTTTCCCCCCCATTTTCTGCTCCTCTCTCTGATTCCCTCTGACCCCTGCATAAAATGTATGCATGTTTCAGTATGGTGTGTCAAGAATGCAGCATTACACATACTAGTTGACCTTCAGACCTCATCCCTGCTCTAAATATCATCTTTGTCCTTGAGGTTTGTATGGGATGGGCATGCCATGCCCATATTGTTTATCCTTTTACACCCCCATATTGTTTGTGAAGGCCCCTTGACCCAACTAAGGTCGAATCTGCATTTGTCTTTCCCACCGTGTGTCCCAGCCTTCTGGCTCCGTCTTCAAAAAAGATGTGTACATTTGGTGTCGTTTTCACACCTCAACAGTGCTAGCATACTTTTGCACGTCCGCATATGTTTATTGCCCTTTCCTGGCGGCTCCACTGTCATTACGCCTCCCTGCTGCTTTAAAAGAATCATCTCCAAACAACGTTCAAACAAGCATAGAGAAAGGCGGCGTCACAGCAGCGTGAAACTGATTTAAAACTGCAAATGCAGATTTTACCTAAGAGGCTCACTGGGCTGCAGTGAGAGGAGAAAGGTAGGAAAGACCCATTCTTTGAGCTTCATTCTGCTCTTGGTAATTTGGATCCAACCCTGACCTTTCCCACATGGATTGCATGCCCCAGGTTCAATGCTTTTGGAAGCAGATCCTCCCCCCCCCCCCGTTTCCCCACACCCTTGTTATAGCATTGTGGTGCGTTCCTGCCTCCCCGGGTTTTGTCTGGCTTTTTCTCTGATCTTTCCCAAACCTGCTGTGTGCAAAAGTTTGGGAAAAGATTACAGAAAAGCCTGGATGGCTGCTGGTTGTGTGGGAAAGTTCAGATTTTTCCATGTCGCCCTCCTGGTAGCCATTTCCTTTGCCCCTGTCCCCACAGCAGACCCCCCATCACCTGGGAGTTATTCTGTTTTGTAATCAGGAATAGAAGTTCATGATAACAATCTGTGCGTGTTATTGTCTGAATTCTTAGTTCTTATTTTTCTCTAGACTTTTTCAGTGCTGAGATATAATGGGAAAGGCAAATCTAAGACACTTATTTTTTTAAAAAGGTGGGAATTAAGAGAACCTGATACACAGATTGCTAGAATGAGAGTTAGTTGCTGGTATTTAAAGAGCAAAACTGAAAACGCACCGGTGGCCAGGGCAGTAGGGGGGAGTGGCTGCTTCCAGAGGACTGGGGCAGGCAAAATATGGGGAAACCCGCCCTGTGGAAGCTTCATTCCCTCTGCATTCTCTCAGCAACCACAGATGGAGTGGGGGAACCACACAGACTTTGTGCATCTAGTGTGTTTGAAGGGTACCAGTGCAGCTTTTTCTAAAGCTAAACAAACTATTCAGAGCTTGAACCAATGAGTTTCTACCAACAAAGCCATTGGGAGAAGGAAGGAGTTTGAATCCACCCATCCATTAGGAAGAACTTCCTGACTTGTTAGAGCAGTTCCTCAGTGGAACAAGCTTCCTCGAGAGGTGACAGGCTCTCCTACTTTGGAGGTTTATAAGTAGAAGAAGAGATGGGATTTATACCCCGCCCTTCACTCGGAGTCTCAGAGCTGCTTACAATCTCATGGAGCAGGAATCATTGGGGCAGTGGAAGGGGGCTATGAATTCCCTGCATTGTGCAAGGGTTGGACTAGATGACCCCTGGGGTTCCCTCCACCTCATGGTGAGAACTTTCCCCCAGAGTGTGTGATGATTGTACACCTTATGAAGTCTCAGGATGCTGGTTGATCGTTTTGCATTCTACCCATGTTCTAGGTCCCCCCCCCCCAGTCCTCATATTGTCCATTTTCTTTGGCTCTGTTGGGCTTTGATTTACCATGGCATTTTAAAACTGCTGGTTCCAATCAGTTTTAAGTGTGGTCGGGTTTGTGGTGGTTGGTATTATTATTCTTTCTTTATAGACGTTGCCTCAGGAGCCCTGTGCTGGGAGCACATGATATATGTGCTGTCAACGAAGTGAATAATTTCTGTGATTGGGTAAAAAACGGGGGTCAAGCGTTAGACCGCTTCAGAATTGAGAAGTCTGAGTTGTGATAAATAAATTATGCTGTATCCTTCAGCGAAACACCGATTATGGTTATCTTGAATTTTGTTCTTCTGGTTTCGTTTCGTAGTAGCTTTGGACCAGTGGCAACGTGTCGATAAGTCTTCGGTGCTCATCGATCCCTCCGTTTCACAATTTGATATTTTGCACCTCAGCAAAGAAGCCGCGAGTGGTTTTGCTTCTGCCCGAGACATTTGCCTGTCAGGTGAGAGAGTCCATTTTGTTGAACCAGGGTTATTTTTACTCATGCTTGCTTAGACCCAGGGGCTCCAGAAGGAACCAGATGGGGTTTGTATAAAGATGGACATGGAGTAATAGTTTTACTATAAAATGACCAAACTGAGGCTGTTGCACTTTGGTCACATCATAGAATCACACAACTGAAAGGGTTCATAGAGGCCATCCAGTCCAGTGGCACCTTTAAGACCAAGTTTTATTCAGGTACAAGCTCTCCCTCCTCTGTGGGAAACACGGACTGCCCATCCCCCCCCCCCCCAATAGCTAGCAATCCAAAACAGTCCAGTGGAGCCTGAGTGGTGGGTGTCGCCTTCTGACACACTTCCGGTGATGTCAGGGGGTGTGGCATATACAAATGTTATGCTAATGAGCTCTGCTAATGAGCTCCTGCACCTCTTTTGCTACAAAATGACCCCTGTGTTTACTCATGCTTACTTAGACCCAGGGGAACCAGAAGGAACCAGACGGGGTTTGTATAAAGATGGACACGGAGTAATAGTTTTGCTATAAAATGACCAAACTGAGGCACACAACCGAAAGGGGCCATACAGCCCATCTAGTCCAACCGCATGTTCAATGCAGGATCAGCCTAGAGCATCCCTGGCAAGTGTTTGTCCAGATGCTGCTTAAAGACTGCCAGTGAGGGGGAGCTCACCACCTCCCCAAGCAGCCGATTCTACTGATGCACAACTGTCAAAAAGTTTTCCCCTGAGATCCAGCCGGTTCCTTCCTTCCCTTAATTTAAACCAATTCTTTTTCAAGTCCTCTCCTCTGCTGCCAACACAAACAGCTCCCTGCCCTTCTCTAAGTGACAGCCCTTCAAATACTTAAAGAGACCAATCATGAGAAGACGAGTCTTTCTGTAAAAGACAACAAAGCGAGGGAATATGTTGAAGGCAGCGGGAAAAGAGGAAGACCCAACGTGAATTGACTTGGACTGGTCGTTGGCCGAATAAAGAAATTGATGGATTGACCCAACGTGAACTGGGCTGACTCTATCAAGGAAACAGGATTGCGTAGACGCGGGGGAAATCGGGCGAAGCTGCGGGGTGAAATGCGGCCCCCGCAGCACATGGTGTGAAATTGACACGTATGATCGGGGCGAAGGGAAGAGCAAGGGTGGAGCGGCAGCTTGTGGGAAATCGGTCACACTGTTTTCAACCCATCGACTCCAACCAACCCTGCACTCCAATCCCCAGCTCTCCCTGTTTCTCAACTCACAGCGCAAACCTATTTTTTTTTGGGGGGGGGAGGGTAGTCGCCAGGATGCACTAATTAGATTCAACCCATCGACTCCAACCAACCCTGCATTCTAATCCCCAACTCTCCCTGTCTTTCAACTCACAGCGTAAACCTATTCTTTTTTGTGGGGTAGTCACCAGGATGGACTAATTAGAGCCTTCCTGGCAACTAAACCCCCCCCCACCTATATGTAAGGCTTGAGGAAATCTGTTTCGATGTATCTGAAGAAGCGTGCCTGCACACAAAAGCTTATACCCGGAATTAAACTTTGTTGGTCTTAGAGGTGCCACTGGATTCACACATTGTTCAGTATAAAGCAGTTTCACGTGTTCCTGTGTACTCCCGCGTCCCTCCACCTTGCTGATTCTCAGTCCGTCTTTCTCTCTCCTCACAGTCTGTTCCAAGGACAAATCCTGCCTGGTGACTACTCTGGAAAGACAGCGTTCAGCCACGCGATGCATGTTCTACCCAGAAACCCAGAGCTGCAGATTTAGCCTGGAAGGACACCACTGTCAACTCTTGCTCAAAGAGCCGGCGACGTATGTCTATCGTAGGCAAGGTTAGTACGTGGTCGGAGATCTAGAGAAGCAGGACTCCCCCCCCTCCCTATCTTCTTAAATTTTTTTTTTTGCCATGAAGTCACATCTGACTTACGGCAACTCCCTGGGGGTTTTCAAGGCAAGAGACCTCCGGAGGTGGCTTGCCATTGCCTGCCTCCGCATCACCACCCCGGTATTCCCAGCCTTTCAAATACAGACCAGGGCCTGATAGAGAGCCAGTTTGGCATCGTGGTTAAGAGCGGCGGACTCTAATCCAGGTTTGATCCCTTACTCCTCCTCCACATGGAGCCAGCTGGATGACCTTGAGTCAGTAACAGTTCTCTCAGAACTCTCTCAGCCCCCCAAAACAAGTCTATCTCACCACGTTCAAAGAGCTAGACCTTGTGGCTGCCAGACAATCTTGGGATCTCCTAGCTATGTTACACACACTGCCATACGATGATGATGATGATGATGATTTCCTATTTTTTATCATCGTCGTCATCATCATCATCGTCGTCATCAGGACTATTTTGGGGCAGGAATGCACAGGAACGGAGTTCCGGCTGGCTCCTGAGTTGGCCACGCCCAGCAGGAGTTCATTAGCATAATAGGCCACACCCAACAGCAGAAACTCATTCGGATTGGCTACATTAGGGGTGTGTGGCCTAACATGCAAAGACGTTCCTGCTACAAAGAAAAGCCCTGGGTTTTGACAACAAACAAAGGAAACAGAATAAGAAGCAAAAGGTGGGTGTGGCAACATGGAGGTGTGGCCTAATATGCGAATGAGTTTCTGCCATTGGGTGTGGTCTATTATGCTAATGAGTTCCTGCTTGGCTTTTTCTACAAAAAAACCCTGGTCGTCATCATCACAGACCAGAGCCAACCAGGCCCATAGCAATGGTGGGGCATTTCAGGGCTCTGCCCCCTGAAATGTGAGGCATGCCCCACAACAGCTGCTGGGCCTCTCTCCCTCCTCCCGGATTTAAAGGGCCCTCCAGCCGATCAGCGGGCCCCTTAATCTTGCAGGAGGTGAGGGAGAGGGGCGGCTTCCCTGAACTCCAAGTGGTGATTTCACCACTTGGAGATCAGAGGCAGACAGCCCCCACTAGAAAAACAGCATTTAAAGGGTTCCTTTTAAAATTCTGTTTGTCTACTGGGGGCTGCCCTCGCCTGATCTCCAAACATCGAAATTGCCGCTTGGAGTTCAGGGGAGGCGTGCGGTCACCCCCTCCTTCCCCTCCCCCCTCCCCTGCTGCCCCACAAAATTTCCCCATGCCCCACCAACCCAAAATCTCTGGTTACAGGGCTGGCGTCAGCCCTGATTAGTTTCTGAGATCTGATGAGATTGGACTAGCCGGATCAGGCTCCCTGAAGACGAAAAGTTGGTTTTTATACCCCACTTTTTCTCTACCTTAAGAAGTCTCAAAGCTGCTAACAGTCACCTTCCCTTCCTCCTTGTGAAGCAGGTGGGGCTGAGAGAGTTCTGAGAGAACTGTGACTGGCCCAAGGTCACCAAGCAGGCTTTATGTGAAGGAGTAGGGAATCAAACCCAGTTCTCCAGATTAGAGTTCGCTGCTCTTAACCGCTATGCCACACTGGCTCTGTAATGGCACCTAACCCAGACCAGAGAACTTGTAATTCTCAGATCCCTGTCTTGGGACTCTGCCCTGTTAATTGCTGGTAGGGTGGTAATTATAATTGTTCCACTCTGAAGACTCTTTTGGCTTTAGGGTATGAGAAGTCATTGTTCCTACAATCCCCTGCACGAGTTAGACCTCCTGGGCAGTGCGGTGTCTAGTTCTGGGCATTGTACTTTTTAAAAAAGATATGGACAAGTTGGGACAAGTTCAGCGGAGAGCAGTGAAAATGGTCTGGGAGTTGGAAAACAAGTCCTAAGTGGAAAGGTAGGAGGAATGGGGTATTTGTAGCCTGGAGACAAAAAAAAAAAGACTAAGGGGAGATACGATTGTGACGTTTAGTTCCCTAAAGTGGAAAAAGGCAAAGATCTGTTCTCTGCTCTAGCAGAGGGCAAGACTAGATCTAATAATCTTCAGTTACAGGAAAGCAGATCAGTCCAGAAGAAGAAGAAGAAGAAAAAGAAGAAGAAGAAGAAGAAGAAGAAGAAGAAGAAGAAGAAGAAGAAGAGATTGGATTTATACCCCGCCCTTCACTACCTGAAGGAGTCTCAGAGCGGCTTACGAACTCCTTTCCCTTCCCTTCCCTTCCCCTCCCCACAACAGACACCCTGTGAGGTAGGCGGGGCTGAGAGAGCTCTGAGAGAACTGCCCCTGAGAGAACAGCTCTGGCAGAACTATGGCTTGCCCAAGGTCATCCAGCAGCTGTAAGTGGAAGAGTGGGGAATCAAACCTGGTTCTCCCAGATTAGAGTCCGTACACTTAAGCACTACACCAAACTGGGTCTCTAAGTAGCACCTTAGAGATTTTTGGGGTATGAACTTTTGAGAGTCAAAAGTTTCTTCATTGAATACTCGAAAGCTCATCCCTGGAAGAAGATGATGAAGAAGACGAAGAAGAGTTGGTTTTATACCCTGCCCTGCACTACCTGAAGGAGTCTTGCTTGGTGTGGCTTACAATCTCCTTCCCTTCCTCTGCCCCCAGCAGGCATCCTATGAGGTAGGTGGGGCTGACAGAGCTCTTTTGAGAACTGCAACTGACCCAAGGTCATCCAGCCAGCTGCATGTGGAGGAGTGGGGAATCAAACCCAGTTCTCCAGATTAGAGTCTGTTGCTCTTAACCACTGCACCACAGCTGGCTCACAGCTGAAAATCTCATTGGTCTCAAAGGTGCTACTGGACTCGAGTCGTTACTACTGCAGCCCAACACAGTTACCTACTGAAACTACCTTAAAGGATGGGGTAGCAAGTGATAAAAGGAGCTGCGGTGGCTCAAGTGGTTAAGATGCTGAACTGCAGGCTGTGGAAGGTCGGTAGTTCAGCAGTTCGAGACCCGAGTGTGCCGCAGGACGGAGTGAGCTCCTGTCTCTAGTTCCAGCTCCTGCCAGCCTAGCAGTTCGAAAGCAAGAAATTGCAAGTAGATAAATAGGTACCACTTCGGTGGGAAGGTAACAGCGTTCCGTGCGCCTTGGTGTTTAGTCATGCTGGCCACATGACCATGGAAACGTCTTCGGACAGCGCTGGCTCTTCGGCTTGGAAACGGAGATT